CTGAGCTTCACAGGAGAGAAACAGGTTTCCTGGAAGACAGAGACAAAAGTTAGAATCCAGTCTGGATTCCAAAAGTCAACAAAGGTTCTCAATGATACTAGGCTTAGGTGCTAACCAACTGGATCAACACTGCGGCGTTGAGGCAAGGTCTGAAGACAGCTTAAGTACTGTGGATCCTCTAATGATGGGATGAGCTCCAGCTGTGCAGGAGGCTCGACTCAGGAGGATCCACGGCAGACTCTGCTGGAGGAAGGTGGTACTTCTCCAGCTCCCAACAGTCCTTAACATTTTTTGCCCGCATTACTTTTGCACTGTACAGTAAGTAGTTTTAGAAATGGTACTTTCACACTTTTACTTGAGTAAAAAGCTTAAGGTGATACTCTAACTTCTACAAAAGTGCTTTTGAACAGGATTTTAAATAGGATTTCTACTTCTACTTGAGTAATAAACATGAATAAGTTTGACACTTCTGGTTTTTTTGTCTATACACCATTAAATCCTAATAAAATGGTCACGAATATTTCACAAAGGAAAGCATGAGAATTGAACTGAATTTTAAAATATAGATTATGCAAAATATCAAACTTTTTTGGGGTTTGTTCATGTAGATGAGTTAGTTTGGGGATTGAAGAAGATAGATGGACAGCTACTGAAACCTGGCAGGATTTCCATCAGAGCACAGANATCAATCCCAACCAAGCCTTCGCTAACAGAACTTCTCTCTCACAGACTCCAGTGAACCAGTCCCAGACCAGAACCAGTTCGACTGTTCATTTAATTCATGCTTGTGCAACAATAAACTTGTTAAAACTTTCCCTCTGAGTCATCAGTGTTCTGCATCTTGGGCCTCTCTGTTAACCCATCATGACAGGCGGGGCTTAGGGCCGGTGGGGGTCTTGTTTGCGGACCAACAGATCTCCTCCCTGTTTTTTTACAGATGACACATCCATTCCTCCCGTCAAACCTTTATCATCCCCGAGGGCAGTTTGCATTTAGTGTAAAGTAGCCGGGATGAGAATCAGCTCAGCCAAGTCCGAGGCCATGGTTCTAGAGTGAAAAAAGGCGGCCTGTCTTCTTCAGGTGGGAGTTCTTGGTCAGTGTCTACGAAAACTTTTGTAAGACAAAAACAGTGAAGAACAAGCAACAGGTTTATGATTTACTAATGCAGTTTGGGCACAAAGGAGCATATCTGTTGGATTACACCATCCAATAGATATGCCACTTTAGCTCTTAATACTGAAATTATAGACACTTTCATGGACTCATTATTACTTTAATATTTTGCCTCTTTAAGCAGGAAAATGCTTCATGCCAAAAGACAAAGCTGACTAAAAAATGACCAGAAAATGGTTTATTTAGAAGAGTTCATTCAGTCTCCAGATTCCACGGATGTCAATCCAGTCAAGCATACTGTATGTGGAACTAATATAATGTTTGGCAGGTGATCATAATGTAATTCTTAATCTGTGTATGCTTTCACTAACAACTGGCTTAATAAAAGCATCTATCTTTTCGGCTATCCATTTTCTATATCTGCTTAATCATTGTAGGGTCATAAAGGGCTGCACTGAACATCTATGCATGCATACTCTCATACCTAAAGCAATTTACAGCAGCCTATGGAACTAACATGAATATTTTAAAATAAGTACCGAGACGAATCCCACTCAAACATGGGTAGCCCATGCACACTGCACACAGAGGAGCCCCAGGGACCTGCATGCTCAGAAAAACAGCAATAATATCTGCAGTATTTATAAAAACTGTTATAATCAAGCATGTTTTACATTTATATTGGATTTTCAGAGATTTATTTTTTTTTTTTGACTGAATACTGATAAGCTCTCTAAACACAGTAACCATTGTCCACCATAAATAAGGGTACCTTGAAAGGGAATAAAAAAAAAAAACATGATAACATTTGTATTCTATATTAAATTTAATAAACAATCTATTTCTGGTCAAGTTATGTTTTGCAATTTTTAATTCACGTTTCTTTACAGCTAAAAATGTTTTAGGACTGCTTACATATTCTAATATTTAACTAGTCTGTCATCTGCTCACTCATGAATATTGATAATTTAGAGAGAAGAAGACAATGATAATATTAAGATTGGTTAATCCAGAATCCTCTGAGGTACTCACACATCCCCAACAGAATAAAACTAGTGATTTTTATAGTTCTAATATATATTTAAAAAATAAGAGAAAATGTACCTACTTACTTGCTTATAAAATATACCATTCTGTGCTAATTCTGTGGACATTTTATGAGCTGTATTGTGCTTCGTGTTTTCACATGTTTGTAGTAATGCGACTATTACAGACCTAAAATCCAATTTCCAAAAAAAGGGTTAATAGACAAAGGCGAGGGTTTTTTTCTAATACAGAAACCTTAGCCTGCTGGAAATTATCTCTGCAGTGTGTGCACTGCATAGCTGGAAGGAGTTTGAGCATTCATTCTTTGGCTCTATTGAGGAGCTGAGGAAGTGCAGTAATATTAACAGAAGCCTTCAGCTTGTTGGGTTTATTGTTTCTACTCTTTCATAAAAGTTATGAAAGGTGTTGGTTTGCCTACAATACTATGGATGGCTAAAAGGAGTTTTCGAAGCACCTTTATTAGTGTTGGGATCTGGAGATTCTCCACCTTCTCCAGC